AAAAGTATCTAGCTAATTTACATTCCATATTATTATTATTTAATTAAATATTATTTTTATATTTGGTATTTATTATTATATAAAATTATTAAATATTTTTGTGTTAATACTCTTTGATTGATTTGTTATTTGAAACAATTTTTTCAGCTTAAATTTGTCAAAAATAATTTGTTTAATATTCAAAACCATCTGATAATTGACAGATAAATATCGGAATTTATTTATAGAAAAAATAGTTATATTTTTTTAGTTTATTTATTAATGGGAAGACATTCACACCAATGGTATGGTATGGGAGTGTTAGTTTCGGTTACTTATATACCGTGTTTTTCGGTAAGTTTTTCGGAAATGGGCCTCGAATTGATAGGAAATAAAACACAGTTTATAGACCGCAAAACAACTATTAAAGCAGACCATTCACACCGTTATTATAAATACTTTCAAACAAACAAATCAATCAAAGAGTATTAACACAAAAATATTTAATAATTTTATATAATAATAAATACCAAATATAAAAATAATATTTAATTAAATAATAATAATATGGAATGTAAATTAGCTAGATACTTTTAGGGAATGTAGTTTTGCATAAATAGTTTTAATTTAGTAATGAAAGTGAATTTTGCAAATAGTTTCTTAAAATATCAGTTTTATGCGAAACGACTGTATTTCTAGAGAAAAGCAAAATATTTATGAATAATATTTATAAAAATGTTAATTAAATTCAAACTAAAAATATTATAAAACATTTTCTCTTCTACCATGTATTAAATATCACGCGAAACATGTGTTTAAAACATATACTGTTTGTGAAAAAATATTTCACGTATGAATTTCTATGAAAATACGGATCGCAAACACATTTTACAATTAATATTATAAAAAACAACAAAAACTAATTTGCAATTTATGTGTGATTTAAACTTAATGTTCACATCAATCGTCAAAAGCATTCATTTCTGTATTCATTGGATAACAAGCGAAACAATAGGAGAGAAAATGTACAGAAAAAACAACAAGTTTTTCGCTTCAAACGAGTGTTAAAAATAAATTATTTTTAACTTCAATTCTCAATACAATACAGTATACTATCGCTTGTATAACAACCATATGTTTGTGTCGGCGTTTAATACTGTTTCCTGAATATTACTGCAAATTTTGCGCAAGGATTTGCTGTTATATTTCATTGTAGTTTAAAATAGACAATAAATAAGGGATTATTGTAGAAAATATTAAATTTTAAAAATCACTTTATCATTGAAATTAATCGGTAGACAAACTGGTAAAACAGTTATCCGACAATAAATCTCTCGCTATTATTAATTAACGAGATTATTTTGTTTGTTAAGACTCTGAGGCCATAAAACTTTATGCATAAATATTTTGATTACAATCTAATCGTTAGCTATTTTTATCGTCCAAAATATGGTCCGAAATATAAATCACAAAATATAATAACTATTTCAGTAATAATTATAATATAAAAAGTCAATTGAATCCACTTTTTGTTGATATAAACCCATTTCTGGTGCACTGAGTTTCAATGCCTTCAGTTGACAGTCCTATTGGTTGGGATTTAAAAATAAAAAGTTTATAATTAAAAGTTAATTATCCAAACAATCATTAACTTATTGTTTACCACAACGTCTCGCAGTTTATCGGCCGCTAAACTGCCGTAAAAATCTTTGACTTTTATTTTATTAGACTTTTGACACTTTTGTATTATCTGTAAATTAATAAATATTTTTATAAATGTTAATTAAAACAACACTAAAAATCAATAGTTATTAAAGTATTATATACTCACGGAATCAACAGTTAAATCAAATCTAAATTCATATAAATTACAAAATATCTGATCTAACGTTGTATTGAAATAATGAGTTAAACGTTGGCTATTGTTTCGCTCATTTGTATTGATTTTACGCAAACAATCATTTGATAATAGATTAAAACACTGGAAATATTGGACCACTTTTTGTGTCTCATTTCCGTCTTCCGATTCAAACGACTCTTTACGCAGAGATTTATCGCACAAAAGGTCTCTATTATATGACAATTGTTTTGATAATTCAAACCGATTTAAACTGTAGTTTCCTTTCAATTGAATAGAAATCATAACATTATTAAAATTACATGTTTTAAACCAAAAATTAATTTCTAATTGTATTTAAACCTAGAATTTCTCGATCGTTGGTTGAATTGATCGATACATTCATCACTTGTTTCAGACAATCCTTACAATAAAAATAGTACTTAAAATTATTTTAAATTTTAGTGCAAAATAAAAATGATCCAGTTTATTTTAAGGCAACAATTCGTACCAACATTTTCAGACCCTTATCGATATCAGTATCCATTTCCTGGTTATTATTCTTGTGCTCTATCTGTCCATCACTTGAATTATTAGTTTGATTATCCATTTTCTGGTTCAGGCATTCATAATAGGGTTCCTATGCGTACAGAATTACCATCAGTAAAGTAAACGAACAAATAGTAACAAAATAAGTAACAAATCAATTGAAACAAACATTTTTATCCAAATTCCAGTGACATCTTGTTTGCCAAAGAATCTCATTTCGGGTATTATTTTCATAATATAATTGTTGACATAATGTGTAAATATATGTGTTATTAGTGTCTGACAACTGGTTTATTGGAGGAGAAGAGACATTATTTTATATCGAAAATAATAAATTTTACTTAATATTAAAGATTTTCTTTCATTACTTTCATTTTGGGCTCCATTTGCCAGCATTTGTCCAACGAATCCAAGACATTATCACCGAAATGAAGAGTGCCATCAGTGGTCGACTCGTCGCAAATCCTATGATTAATAGCTTTATATAATTTGTAATATTCGGTCCGCTTTTGAGACAACAAATCCAATTCACAAACAAATAATTGTATAAACCCTAAGGAAACTGATATAAGAAATGTCACTTTTATGTCCATATTTTTTTGCTGACAATAAAAATATTACACTAAATGTGTTTTTCTATACTCTTTGCCATTAATTCCGATGACATTATATTTAAAATATAAAATTCATTTTGTGTTTATTCAGCTGTGGATTACAGTTAAGTCCCAGAAATAGCTATTTATTATACATATAAAAAAGTTTTTTTTCCAATTTATTCAGTGATCGGATACTAAACATAATATTTTCATTTAAAAAAATAAAGACATTATTGTTTTGTAAATTGTATTCATTTGCTTACCATTGGGTCCCATGTTTAACGCTTTATTATGGTAAAAAATATTGATAATAATTTTCAGCTAAACACACAAAAATTACTTTTAATTATAAACCAAACTATTTCTAAATCACATTTCAATGATTAAAAGATAATTAGAAATTGTGGTACAAATTATAAGCTTATCTCATATCTGGCATAAAGTAATTACATTTTATCGTTCAAAATATTTCATGATTTTATCAATATTTCTGATGGTTTTAATCTCTATGTATGCGAACAATAAGCCGTTAATATGTAAGACAATAGTGTTATAGTTGTTTGGGTTATAATTTATTAGTTATAAATAATTACAAATACAGTATAAAGTTTACATGTATGTAATAATAATGTGGTTTAGCCATTATTACAATGTTGGTTTTTATTTTTAAGCCATTATTAAGCACTCATTGTGATTGTCTGGCTATAAAAGTCTCCGGAGTCTAATTGATTGCCGGACCCACTGCTGACAATTGACTTCAATACTGGACTTAATGTTTCAATTAATTATAATGACAGACATTATATGGAAATTAAATAAATATGTGTAGAAAACAATCAATTGATTATTACTATTAAAAATTCAAATGATTTATAAAGAATTTTCATAATTACAACACAAATACTGAGAGGATATCCTTTATCAACATAATCGCTAACAAATTTATAGCACCGATAGTCTAGTTATACATTTAATTGATTTATATTGTGTTGTAAATTCGTTTGAAGCGTGTATTCAATACTGAAATAAATAATAAATTCATTAATTAAGGCAAGAATTGGTTTCAATTCACATGACATAAATTGAATGCAATAATTAATTGGTTATCCAATTGTGAGACAGTGTAGGCGATCACAAGACCGGTATATATGGGTTACTCGATAACATCCATGCATTATTTAATTAAAATATGCACACACAACTAAGCTTGGGCACAACCCTTACCCCTCCCCAAACCCCCACTCCCCCAGCCGTGTGTATAATGTTTTTGCACACATTTTGCACACATTTTGCACACGATTTGCACACAACTCTACAAAAATTAAATGCCATAAAAAGCGCTGTTTTGACGTTTAAAATCACAGCTCCAGACAATTGGTTTCCTAAACATCGAAAAGTTTACTTTGTTTTCAAGAAATTTATTTTTTTTGTGTTTCATTACAAACAGCAAAATCTGTGCAAAAATGATTGGCGGACCCAAAGAGTTGGTGTTGGCCTGCGATGGCAACTGTTCGTGCGGTAAGGGCTGCACCTGCAAGGACTGTAAGGTTCATAAATAAGGTAATGGTCACTGAATTTATATATATTTTAATTTGATCTTGTCTAGTTAATAGTTTTATCATGTTTATGGCTTTGTTTTAATTATTTAATTAATTATAAACTAATTTGTTATAATTTTATGCTTACTTTTAGGCTTCAAATATGATGGCCAACAGAATTGGTTACAGAATTGGCACCAAAAACTTTTTGCTAAAATACTAAAAGTAATTAATAAGTATAAAAACTCCAAATTTGTTAATAAACATATTTTTGTTAAAAAATATTTGCCAATATGTTATCAATAAAATAAAATTAAAAATTTGATTAATGTAATTTAATTAACTCATTTACTATTTGCAATGGTATGTAATGTGATTCTTGAATATCCATACATCCCATACAATCATATCATAACTGCTCTCTGGTATTGAAAATAGCAATTAATTATTCTTCAAATGCATAAGAATTTGATTATTTATAAAACTTTTAATTAAAAAATAAATGGGATGTAAACGACCATATGTTGTGAAATATATTTAAATATTTTACAGCTCACAACATATTTGCAATGAAAATAAATTTAAAATGTTATTTTAACAAATATTTCAGGCAAATATTAATATGAATATTAGTCGTGTACCAACTTTTCTCATTTACTCAACACACATTAAATTAAATTAATCTACAATATAAATTAAATGAATAGACAATACGTATAATAGAGTATTTAATTTAAATTTAATATAAAGATATTTTGTCTAGACTCTAGAGATACGAGGTCACTTTTTGTAAATATATTTTTCATGGTAAATTTCTTTTATCGTATAAATGTTTTTCTTAAGAAAGTTAATGAAATTCAAAATAATTTTTTTTGACTACTGAATTATTTATATTATGAAATTATAATTACTGCAAAATAATCATAATAGCCAATGAAATTTATAGTTGTAATCTTGCATTTAAACCATTTGTTCCAGAGCAAAGTGTAAGTTACCATGATGCATTTTTAATAACTTGACAAATAATAAACCGATGTCTTTTAAATGATTTGTAAAGTTTAGTTATTTTAGCATATTTTTTATTTTAACTTGCAAATAAAATAGATTTAATATAATATGTTTTTTTGTAATTATATTTTTGTGTGTAAAGGTAGACCAACAATTAATTCAATTATGCTAATACAGTATATTACAGTATGTTAAAAATCATACCATTTCAAATTATATTGATATGAACCATCGTGACCAACGGTAATTAAATATATAATCTTAATTATAGTGTCGTTATAATATACTACCATTACTATCCCGTTGTTTTTATATGCTATTCATGTAATGTTATTTTAGTGCCGTTATAATCAACTGTTCATCATAATCACACATTTTCAAACATTTTACTGGTATATTTTGGCTATAAACGAATTTATGTTATATTAAAAGTTTTATGAAATCAATTGTTAAATTGTAATCCAATATTAATATTCTTGTGAACTTATTGTATAACTAACTTGTTTTTATTCTAATGAAATGTTTATGGAATGTATTTCCTATCAATGATGTATAAGCTATTGATTACTTGTTTTGAAGTCGATTGAAATGTGTATTATATAAGAATTGCCAATTTTTGTAAAAGTCTTTATTTTAAGGAATATATTTCGAGTTAAACTAAAAGCCAAGTTATACTGAATTAGTGTCCATAAGATTCCGATCTCTAGTAATGCAATATTATAACGGCACTCAAAACTACATTTAAATCACTAAAATATAAAGTATATCTAACTATATTAATAAATACTTATATTTGAACAAATAATTCGCAATACAATATTTGTATTAGTCTTTCACAATAACCCATTGTCAATGAGTTATTGTAAATTTTACTATGCACATAATCTGTTATTTTTTATGCGAATTTGTTTAGTGAATAGTAGATTTAATTGTTTAATATTTGATTTGCTAAGGCAACTTAATACAATTTGAATTATATTATCGCTTGTATATTAAGGTAATATAAATTATATAATGATTCTTTAAAAAGTTATAAATGTTTAATAAGTTGTAAACATTTAAATAAATTATTGTTTAGTAAAAGTTAGTCCTTATGACAGATTGGATACTGAATTTACAGTGAATTATATTTTTTACATAACTATAATTTTTGTATAATTTTGGTCTTTTATAACTCTATTATAACAATAATAAACTTCAGATACCTGTCTCTGAAAAACACAAAAACCCATAAAATAATCAATAAATTGTGTTTTTATAGGCATTTATTTATTTGTCAAAACAGTTTATGATGTTTCTGCCATCAAATTACAAGTTATGGCCAAATATAGTTATATTTAATACACTTTCATTTGATTGCAAAATAAAATATTCATCACATAAATAGAAAGCATTGAACAAAATATTGTTATTATAATAAAAACTCTTTTGTTAATTTTATTATCATTTTAGATTTAAATACAAATATTTGTTTTTTCAATAATTCATAGGCTATTGATTTAATTGACAAATATTTGATTTGATATTCAAATTTTAATAAAATGTGAAATTATTATATTTATAATAATGCGATTTTTTGGGTAATATTTGTTCACATGTTTGCTTCAAATAACAATAAGCAAAATAAAAGTCATAAGAATAATGATTATGAATATGCTGTACCCATACATGTGCCCAACCCTTTACCAAAATATTAACAAAACTACATTTATCGATTTACTTACTCTAATATTATAAAAATGATACAATGTAATTAATTAGAAAATACTTTTATTAATTAAATGCAATATGAATTACACAACGGAATTAAATACATTGACTACAAGAATATGCAAAATACATAATTATAAATAGTGTTGAAAATTTTGATTCAATGCAAAAATGTATTTAATTATTCAAGAATTAGAAAATTTTAAACAAATCTAAGACTAATATTATTGAGGAATTCACTATAATTTAACGAAAAACAATATAATAATCAATCGTTAATTAATAATATTATAATAATTACAATCAAAAAACATTATCACTTCAAGAGATACTTGAGTTTCAATAGCAATACCATCGGCGAAGACATTACGAGACACGGATGACGAGCGCTATGGAGACCACAATCATCGATAGGACGGGAAGAATAGCGTTAGTGCCGCACATACCGGGAGTTTCGCGGTAAAGGACACACGTCTTGTCCGCCTGAGCCATCGCCGCCTTTTGCGACTTCTCCACGTTATTGTATTCATTATCATTGCACAGGTCTTTAGCCGTCTTCAGCATACAGTCGAGGAATGACAACGGCTTACAACAGGTCTGCTTCTTGGGATCGGTTTCCAGTTTCCAGTCGTCGGTCACCTTTTGGTAGCATTTCTTGTAGTCCTCGTTATTACTGACTTTGAAACCACAGGTGCCTAAGTTGGACAATGTGTCTAATATGCCGTCCCCTCGGCACTGGTCACCGGCCAGTAGTACCAGCGCTAAGACTAACTCAATTGTCATCAATAGTTTACTCATAATGTTTTTGGTGAACAAAACGTTTTGCACAAAAGTTTTGTTTTTTAAATTATCAATACTTTGTCTCTAATGTTCAGACAATATATGGTATGAATTGTCCGCACGTTTAGTGAATAACTTTGACTGAAAAATACTTCGCCAGTGATTCGCGCGAATGAAAGTCAAGGTTTTATGCGCTATAATCGTGTGTAAAGTTTTTATACAATATCACATACAATACAGTAAAGTACTGGGTGTTACACAATGATATCACCTACAACGATTTTAATTATAATTTGTGTTAATATTTTGCAAATTACAGTATATAACGCCCAATCAATGAATATGAATGATGGTTACAGTGTATTGAATAGCAATTTGTAATTATAATTAGCTATAAACATAAAATATTTAATGTTTGTATTTGATGAAATCATATCTATGTAAAATTAGTTTTAAACATTACTTTTGTTTGAGTTGATAACTGATTGAAGAATAGATTTCACAAAATGTTGTGTCTCATAATTTTTTAACAACTACAATGTTTATTACATATTTATCAGTTTATTTCAAAACCCACATATTTTAATGTTTGTCACAATTATTATGAAAAATTTTAATGGCATATATAAATAATAAGTACTGTACAGGATCAACTTTATTCAATAATGAATTCTTATTGTATATTTTTTCCATTATATGCCAGTAAAACATTATGCTTAATTTATATTTACTATTTCATTAATATGGTCAATTGATGACAAATTTAAACTCCCAATAAATTTAATGTACAGTATAAAATAATTATAATTATAAAAGAAATAGAAATTATGCAAATTTTTATGAACTGAAATGTTTTATTGAATTTTTCTGTACAAACACTCTGTATGTAAAAGTTTTTTGTTGAAACCATAAAACACTTGCGCAGAATTCACAGAATATATTCACAATTCTGTTATTTTTATTGCACCAAAAAATGCTATTATTATAGCATTTCATTGGTTTAGGGTTTGGACAAACATCTAGACAATGATAAATGAGTCTAGATTTTTAATAAAACAATTGTTTTAGCAGTTAATAGTATATTAATGTTAAATTTCCGATAATATCTCATCCAATAACTCGAAATTACAATAATTATCGATATTTCCATAGACTCGTGGCTTAATTGCCATATTTTTAAGTTTTATTCGAGGTTTGCCAAATATTATTACCACACAATATGGTTAATCATTTCCTAAAATAAATATCTGCATTTAAATCTCTCTCTCTCTCTCTCTCTTTCTCTCTCTCTCTCTCTCTCT